CAGGTTGGAGGGTGTCTGAAGCCCTATATTCTCAATCATTAACTGCACCAGCGCTCAAGGCCCAGGCTTCCTTCCTGTTTGCTCCTGCTCTTCGGCACCTCCTGTAACCCTGCTCTCACAACAGGGCCCAAGCCCCTTGAGCACGGAAGTTGAGTGTCACTGTGGTTAAGAGCAGGGGTCCAGAAGTCAGAGAAACCTGGATTCAAGTCCTGCCTCCTTCACTTTTTAGCTTTTGACATTACACAAGTTATATCCAATTATTCAACAGTGAATTTATTGAGCTCCCTGGCTGTGTGTTCCAGGCACTGAAGGTAGGAACTAAGCAAGACAGACATGGCCAAGCTCTGACAGGCCTCACATTCTGCTTGGGGAGTCAGCCCAACAGCACAACAGCAAATAATCCCCACAGGGTGATTTCAGGGAGGGATATTTCGATTGATTCCGATTGGGGAGTCAGACCATTAGCACAACAGTGAATAATCACCAGGGGATGATTTCAGGGAGGGATCAATATTTTAATTGATCCCACTTGGGAGGTCATACCATTAGCGCAATAATCACCATGGGTCGATTTCAGGGAAAGATCAATAATTTGGATTGATTCCACTTGGGGAGTCAGACCCTCAGTGCAGCAACAAATAATCACCATGGGGTGATTTCAGGAAGAGGTCAATATTTCAAAAGAGCAGGGGATGTGACAGAGTAGGTAAGACAGGGGCTAGACACAGAGGCCAGGGATGATGATATACACGAGATGACATCTGAGCTAAGACCTGCACCATGGGAAGACAGGGGAAGTCAGGGAGAGGGCATTCTGGGCAGTGGGCACAGGCCACTATGCCCTAGTCCCACCCCAATCTACTCTGGGTCCCTGGCGGTACTCGTGCTAAGGTCCTGGGGCAAGGGTGGGCTTGGCCTGTTTGAGAAAGACAAAAGTATCTCCATCTGGAAAAAATATGGCTAATGAAAGTATTCATGCCCTTGGTTGTTGTGAGGACTAGATGAGTTGAGTGTACGGAGACCTTAGTGGAGTGTCTGGTGGTAAATGCTGGCTGTGTATTATGGTTCCGAAGGTTGTTGCTAGAAGGCACACCCCACCCTAACTGGGTCCCTAACTCTGTGGAACCCAGGCCTTTTTTCCTTTTCTTCGAAACAACACTTGTTCCCTCTTTGTGGAATGCACTCCCACACCTCTCCTACCCCACCCCTGCCTGGCAAACCATGAATGATCCTTTAACTCTCAGTTTAAATGACAGTCCTTCCTTCTCTACAGTCACAGCAATGGCCTGGCAGGTTGCATACCCACGTGAGGACCTGCAGGGCCATCTTGGGAGCTGGCTGCTTATCCAAAGGTCTGGAAAGGCCTGGGGCCAGCCTCCAACCTCGCCTGACTGTGTGACCCCACCCTCTGTGTGCGCCGGGCCCTCCCTTCATGTCTGGCCAAAGCTGTTACCTCCCTGCCCTCCCTCTCTCTATCACTGTACCTCAGAGCACCTCGTTCTTCCCTTCAAACACACGTCTCATGTTGAGATGGTAGGTGGATGTGACTGTCGACTATGGATATTGGCCTCTCCACCAAAGATGGAAAGTTCCAGAACAGTGTCTGTGTCTTTTGTGGTTCCCCAACAGCACTCGACGTCTGTTGAATAAGTATTTGTTGATGAATGTCCCCACCCTCTCCTGGTGCTCCTCTTGCTGCTCAGTCCCCTGCTCAGTCTCCTTTGCTGACTCGTCCCCTTCGCTGACTCGTCCCCTTCTACTTGGTCACTTGAGGTTGGAGCTTCTCAGGGATGAAACCCAGCCCCTCCTCTCCTGCCAGGCTCTCTCCCTAAGTGACCTCACCCCCTGCCCACACGCCCAGGTGCCTCGATGACTCTCTGATATATATCTCTCACCCCAGACCTCCTCCGACTACAGACCTGTTTTCCAAGGCCACCGTCCCACCTCCTCCTGGATACCTCAGGGCATCTGAAACTCAGCACATCCCAGGCGGAGTCCACAATTGTTCCTTTAGATCTGAGTTGAATGCGGGGCTGCCCGCCTCAGGCCCGAGCAGCTCATCCATCCATCCAGTCGAGCATGACAGCAACCTCAGAGTCAGTCTTGGTGCCTCCCTGACCCCCTAACTCCCTGTATCTACTGTCCACTGGGAACTGCTGGCTTCACTCCTAAATATCACTTACCCCTGTGGGTCTTTCCACCCCCGCCCACTGTCCGCCGCCTACGGAGGCCATCTCCCTGCCTCTACGCTGGCTCACTCGCCTGCTGGTTCCAGTGCGCTCTCCACGCAGCAGCCACAGTGGCATTTAGAGAGGCAGATCTGATCCCATCAGTCTCTCCCACCTGACAACCCTCTGGGGCTTCTCATGGCCCTCAGAAGGAACCCTGTTCCCCTCAGTGGCCCTGCTGCCTCTGGACCCTCCTCCCTATCCGTTTCCTGCAAATGCTGGGTAGGAAGGGAATCTGTCCCAGGGCTCAGGAGTGGGTGAGGAGGGAAAGTGCAGCCTTGGGGCCTCAGCAGGGTTAACAGGACAGTGTGGCTCTTGCTCTGCAGCCTGAGCTGGCCCATGAAGTGAGTGACCCCATCGAGCTGGGTTCTTCAGATAGCCTTTGGTGGCTAGTCTCCCACTTCCCCTGGCCTGGGACAATGGACTCCTTGTGGGGGCCTCGGGGACTCAACTTCCACCCTCAGTATGAGTGGAGGCTTCACGGTCTAACGCTGCCGACCCCCAGAAGCCTTACTCTCTGGGGTACTGCTGTAAAGAAGGGGGTCTTTGCTGTAGTTCCTATGAGATCTCCCAGAAACCAAGGATTGGGGTCACCCTCCAGTGACAAACAGGATCCAACACCTTCTCCCTTCTCTGCTGCTGTCCTCTGCTCCAGCCTCTTCCCTTCCCTCCTATAGCCTCTCAGCACAGCTGTCGGGCCAGCCTCTCATCCATATGTCAGGCATAGCACTGTTCCACTTCACATCCTCCCTGTTTTGCTCTGAGTACAAACTACAGTTCTCGAAATGCCCAGGGCTGACCTGGTTTGGCCTGATTACCTCTCTGATCTCAACTAGACTAGGTTAGCCACTCATCCCTTCTGTCCAGCTGCCCTGGCCTCCTTGCTGATCCTCAAACTGTCCAGGTACCCTGGTGACTTACACGCTCTGCCCAGAGCCCTCTGCCCCAGAAACCCGAGACTCTCTTTTACCTCCTCCTGGTATTTGCTCAAAGGCTCCTTCTTAGGGAGGTCTTACTGGCCTCCCAATCTAAATGTACTGCCTCTAACCCCACTTAAACTTCCTACCCCTTTCTATGATATTTTTTCTCCTTACCATTTATCACCATGGACCAGACTGTATATTTTGTTTATCTTATTTACTATCCATCTCTCCCAACTAGAATGTAAGCCTCATGAAGGTGGAGGAGGGGAGCTTATTTCTGAATCTCCAGCATCTAGAATGGTACCTGCCACACAAATATGTGCTCCATAAATGAATGCACTTTTTCTTTTCTGTACTCCCTGGGCTGCAGACTGCATGCAAAGCACATCCTCAAGGCCAGGGATCTGTCTCAAGCCTTTTTGAAAACCACCCCTTTCCTACGTGCCCCACACCCAGCTCTAGCAGGGTGCCCTCCTGCCCCTGAGCCTGCCCTCATCATGCCCATTGCCGAGGCCTCAGGACTGAATCACATTTTTGGAGTCTTCCTGGGATAAGCTAATAGGCATCATTATTCTACAGCGATGCTCATGTATAATTATAATTATTATCCTATATGAACGATCCATTCCTGCTCGGTAATTCCAATGGTAATTGCTGGCCTTCTGAGAACTGAGCTGGCTTGGACGGTGTGTGCCCATTTTCTCTGAAGCTGCCCTCTGGAACACAAGCAGGTAGGCACTGCCAAGTGGCAGAGGTGCTCGACAATTTTTCCCTCTCCACTGGCCCTTACTTCAATTGCTAATGAGAATAAGAGTGGAGGTGACCAAAGGAGTAATTGCTGTCTGGAAGAAGTTTCTACCATTTCTTCTAGTCCAGGGCAAGTCCAAGTGAGTTTGGGTAGCAGAGCCAAGAGGTTGAAAATGAGACGGTGCAGTGGAGTCTCTGGCCGAAAACAACCTCCCTCCCCTCTCAGCAGTGGCCTTGACGGGTGGCTGAGAGCCAGGCCTTCATAGGAGCCTCCTGAGTCGTTTTTTACCCTCTGGTCTTTGAGCTCCCAACACACCATGTGCTAGCTTTCTTCAGGTGGATCTGCCCTGGGGATCCCAGGACTGGGGCTCAGAGCCCTTCAGAATCTTCCCCTCTGTGCCCCAGCCTCCTGCCAGGCCCTGCACCAGCCCCTGCTTCTTACTGCTCCCTGGGCACATCTGATGCCTTGGTGCTTCTGGGTCTTTGCTCCAGTGGTGGCACGGCCCTGCTTGTAACAGGGCACAGGAAGCTCCTCCGAGATGCCAGCCATATCTTTGTAGTTATCCTGTAGCCCCTTGAAGAGGAGACCCTTTGACCTGAGTGCCGGCCTCAGGGACGCCGGGATGCTGCCTTTCCACTCAAGCAGTTTGAGCTATTCCTCTAGCCAAGAAAACTTTACCAGGGGCCAACATCAATTCATTGATTTTCAACCAAACACAGATTCGCTGGGCAGGCGGAGGCAATAGAGGGCAAGGCAGGAGCTGAGGCTCGAAAGAGCATGTGCCAGCACCAGCTGTCACACGGCCCACAGAGTGCCCCTCCCAGGGCTGTGGGCTCCTGCTCCTTCCACCTCCCGTCTGCAGAAGGGAGTCAGTTCCCAGGAGACGGCTTCTCCAGTTTGAAATAAACATCTGTCAAGGTGGGACCCAGAAGTATACCCTTGGTATCCCAGAACACAATGGCTTCTAGGTAAGAGTTAAACCGGTCTTACACTGTGCAGAGATGAAGCACCTTACCCCTGCTGCACACAGCTTTAGTCAACCCAAATGCAATCATGGAGATAAACAACAGGGAAATTAATTAGAAGAGTTGCCAAAAATACCCATTTTTCCTCTTTTTCCATTTGCTCCTTTTTCTCCTTTTGGGCCCTGAGGACCAGGCTGTCCATCCAATCCATTGTGTCCTGGCAACCCGCCAGCTCCTGGAGGTCCTGCATCAAAACACAGAAACAGGGACGTTAACAACAACAACAAAAAACATTCTTCACTGAAGTTACTGTAATTTCCTTTACCGATGAAACTGAGCAGGCATCAATACCTTTTCCACATCCTCTCTCACTTCTTCCCTTCCTTCTCTGGCAAAAGCAGTGCCAAGTAGGGGAATGGTGATGGAGGAGCCTCAGGTGAGGGGCACAAAGAAGGAGACACACAGCAGGACTGCCTCCAGGCTCTTGCCCTCCCCTCATCTGTCCCATCAGAGAGATCCTAGGGGTCTGGCCACCCACAGCCTCCCCTTAAACTAGAAAAGTCCAAGGGCTCTTACCTGGTGGTCCAGGAGGTCCTACAACAGAAAAAAAATTTAAATGAGAAACCATGGGTGGAAGAAAGAGAAACCAGCATCGAACCCGAAAACAAAGATCACCCCCGACCTTCAAATCTCCTAATTATCTACTGACCCTAAGCAACGGATTCTACACCTTGTATTTAGAACTCATTATATTTGGCCAAAAGACCCTTCCTTTAAAGCAATTCAACAAAGACCCATTTGCCAATCAAACCACATTTGCTTGTTTCAAGGAACCAAGATTAACTTCTGAGCTGTCCTCACTGTAGATTCCTAAATTAGTCATCTCTCAAGCAGTCAACCTAATAAACGGAGGGCCAGTAACAATACTGGTGGCCATGAATGCAGCCCTAGCACAGGGGGTTAGCAAATGATGGTGCTGTCATTGTGGGGCTGAGATTTGGCTGTCCCAGGAGGCCTCCAAGTGTTCTCATCTAGCTAGCTTGTCTCATCTGAGCCACTGGGGGGAGTCGGGAGTGAAAGCTGTCTGGCTAGATTTCTCTTTTGTTATATGAACTAGCCTGAGGAAAATTGAGAGCCCAGATCAGGTAACACATACCTTCCTTAGCGTGTAATTACCCAAGGATCTAAGGGGTTCAGATGAATCCAAATTGATTTTGTTCCCACAAATAGGGGTGTCTTATTGTCAACTATTCTATTTGAGTACTCAGACAAGCTAATGAGGTTGTAACATGAGCAGTTGAATTCCTTTTGTTTTTTTTTTTTTGGAGACGGAGTCTCACTCTGTCGCCCAGGCTGGAGTGCACTGGCGCCATCTCGGCTCACTGCAAGCTCCGCCTCCCGGGTTCTCACCATTCTTCTGCCTCAGCGTTCCAAGTAGCTGGGACTATAGGCACCCGCCACCACACCCGGCTAATTTTTTTTTTTTTTTTTTTGTATTTTTAGTAGAGACAGAGTTTCACCGTGTTAGCCAGGATGGTCTCGATCTCCTGACCTCGTGATCCACCCACCTCTTTAGACCACATATAATGATTACCAATATTGGAATGGCGAGGTCTTTCTATAAATCTAAGCCTGTGACCATTCACAAAACAAGCATTAACTAAGCAGTTACTACGTGCATCAAACTCCACCAAGAAATCCTGGTCCCTGTATCTGTTGTGTTCACAGTCTATGTGGGGAAGATGGACTCTTTGAAATCATAATGCAGTATGAGAGAGCTACAGTGAAGTGTTCACTCCCATACCCCTGACAAAGGGTACTGGGGAAGTGTGGGCATGCAGTGGTCTGAGAAGGCATCTCAAGATGATGATCCTGGAGCCATGACATTGAAGAAATGGGGCTTAAGATGGCAGCAGATGAGGTCTGACATTTCCATGAAGGGGCCACCAGGAGTACAGGTACAGAGGTGGGGACTCATAAGATTCAGGGTGGGAGGAAGTTAGAGGACTGGTCAAGTGTGTAGAGATGAGGCTGAAGAAGGACCTGTGTATGGTGGGTGGCAGAAGCACTTGAATGTCAAGCCGGGAGGTGTAGATGGTATCTGTGAGGCAGGAGGGAGCCATGGGAGGTTCTTAGGCAGGGGGATGATGCTGTGAAAGCAGTGTGGGTTTGATAGCCTCTTTGTAGCTGGAAGACGGATAGAACTAGGTGCAACAAGACGAGAGAGACAGTGACACAGACACAGGAAGAGAGACATGGAGGATGGGCATTGCAGAAAAAAAAACCCTAGGGGATCTTTGTAGTTAAACTCGGTGACAAGGTTGTGTATAAATGAGCTGACTGTAGAATTGTAGAGAAAGCTAGACATTCAAGAGGTATTTCAGCAGAATGAGCAAGAATCCACATCTGATTGGGTAGGAGACAAAGGAGGAGGACTTTCAGACAACAGGGGGCCAGCAATACAGATAGATAGAGGCTATTTTGACTGGCGTAGGGACTCTTGGGATAAATAGGTGTTTGAGGATATGCTTTCAATACATAACAGCCCTACTCAGGGCAAAAATGGCTGGCTAAGACGGCACCACATCCTCTAGGTTCAGTACAGCCTGTGTCTCCATGACTTTACCACCAGATGGCGCACACGTACTGGGAAGGGGGTGATGTGTCCAGTTAACAGAGGTCAGAGGAAATCAATTAATCATCGTTCCTGATGACAGAGGGAGCCAAATTCGGATACAGAGATTGGTGGAAGGAATAATTTGACTGTAAGACACAAGACTTGCCTGTACACAGTAGGTTTCAAGAGTTCCCACGACAGTCTGATAACCATGCCCATGCATCAGTACTGTTGGTGAGAGCTCCCGGCTGAAGCTGTATATTCAGGACATATTAGCCGTGGCCAAGGCTTTAACTATGGTGATTAGATTAGGGTGTCCTGCAAGAGCTCCACTGACGCCCTGTGGATAGAGTTCTTCTCATATGAATCCACAGAATTGCCTGCAATGCCTATTAAAATGCAGATACCCAGGCCCCATCTGGGGTTCCTAATTCAGTTTAGATTTAGAGGCCCAAGAATCTGCATTTTTACCAAGCATCATAGGCGACTGGAATGCATCTGGACATGGGCCCTCTGATGTGGTGTGAAAATTTTCCGGGAAAAGAATCAGTCACCATCAGCAGATCCTTAGAGAGGTTCTTGACCCTAAAAAGGTTCAGAGCTACTAGTCTTAAGGCAAGAGTAAAAAGTCTGGGCTAGAATTGGGGATGGAAGAGCGGGAGGGCCACACCCCACCTGGGGAGAGGCAAGTGAGAGAAGAGGCACCAGGAAAGAGAGAGCTGTCAGAAGACACGTGGAGGAGGAAATCCAGCAGGTCTAATGCCCCACAGCTAGATGAGGAGAGAATTTCAGAAGAGAAAGGAAGACAGCCCCAGAGAGCTCAGCAGTCCAGGCAGACATAAAATGTGCTGAGGCATAGGGAGCTATGGTGATGGCAGGATGCCCCCCGTCCTCTCAGAATACCAGCCCAGCTCTCCAGGGGCCTGACATCTGGAAGAGCTCCTACATGTGTCAAATAATGTCAAATGTCATGATGTTTGCCAACTGGGTGTTTAGAAAACTGTTTCTCAGCTCCTGACCCTTCTCCCTTTCTTGAATAGCACATCCTCGAGGAATGTGAGCAGACATCCATGTTCATGCTAACAGTGCATGCAAGGCTGGTGTCCGGGGCCTGCCACCCACGCAGGTGCATAGGGTTTCACCTCACAAGGGGGCTTCAGGTGTGGGCTTAATGCTCTGCGGTCGCCATCTAGAAATTCCCAGTGATCTTGTCTTTGAATTTGTGTTTTGTAAGTGAAGTCCAACGGGTCAATAAAGTATGCACAGAGGGCTTGGTGGGGTCTCACCTCCCACCACCTTCCTAGGACATGCCACCTGCTCCCTTGCCCCATGATGTACTCTTTGTACTCTCTGTACTCCTTGCCCCATCAGTAACTTCTGCCACTTTCCACCCTGGTAGGGGCTGGGGTATAAGTGCAGGAAAGGTGGGGCTGAGTGGTGCCCTGCATGCCTGAGTCACAAGGCAAGACCCCTGGGTCTGTACTTGCCCTATAAGTATTCCATGCTTCGCGGAGTATGACATTAGGTAGCAGATAAAAACTCACACCAAAACAGGTCAAGACTGTGGAAGAAAGAAGAAAGCCTTTTTCCTGCTTCTTTTGGAGAAGAAACCCTGCATTTTCATTTTGTACTGGGCCCTACAGATTATGTAGCTCATGCTAACTGTACCCATCCCACACTCCTAACCAGAATCGATTAAAATTGGGTGGATGCTTGATAAGAGCTGAGCCACTTAGATATTTTTTTTTCCTTGAAATCTAAAATTGGCCCACAATGCCCCTAGTTATGTAAACTTGAGGCCTGTGATGGCCATGAACACCAAAAACAAATCAGTCTGCAGAGAGAAGTGCAGTTCTAGTCAATTAGCGTTGGCTTTCTGGAACAGCAGAAAAGAATGCTGTGAGGCTGTGCTCAGCAGCATTGATCCATGATTGATATTTGCCTAGGTACAGAATGAGAGAGTAGTGACACGTATCATAACTGGGTTAGGGTCACTTGGCTGCAAGGAGAATGTGTAGTGCTTCTGCCCCAATATGCAGTTCAGTAACGTGATGATTTAGATGTTTTCCAACAGATACACATGAAGAGGATGCAGTGAGTGAAGAATAACCCAATAACACGGCTTCTTCAAGACACCTGCTCTCCCAGAAGATATGCTTCTGGGTTCCCAAGGAAATCTGGGCTCCAGAGTAAGATGCATTCAGAAAAGCATGTGTTGTTTGACAAACTCTGTACTAGCAAAAATAACTAATTTCTCTAGCTAGGGGATTACCCTCACAATCCACCTGAGATGTTAAAGGTTGCACAAAATCACATAGCATCTGTCCTGACTGCCATAGCAGCATAGCAGCAACAGCTGGGCAAGGAAGAGGGATGGGAGCCAGGTTACCTGGTCACAGCTGGACTAGCCTCAAGTTATGAGTACCTGCTTTTTCAAAGATGAATCCAGTGGAACGATAAATCTTGTTCCCAGTCCCCAAGCCCAGGTTCTGCTATGGCACGTCTTCCTGCCAGGCATCCTCTTAGGGCTCAAGACCAGTGCTCTCTGTCCACCCTCTGAAGCTACCCAGTTCATTCCTGGGTCCTGTCACTCAGCCTCCTGCCCACTACCCTGCCCCCAATCCGGACCTCATGGTCTATCCCAAAGCATCCTCTCACTTTGCAACTTGTACTTTTCACATCTAATTTTAATTGAAGAACTTTCTGTGTAAAAGGAGGCCCAATTTCAAGCTGGCATGAAAGGAGAAGGTGCTGTCTTTTGAAAAGCTTTTCAAAGTGCTAAAGAAAACCTACTCAACCCACTTCCAGCACGGATGTCATCCCCTACTCCCTGCCAATCTCTCCTAAGTGGTCTCAATAGCTCCGTCCCGTGCATTCACTGTACAGCCTGGCTCTCAGGTCTATCACTATTAAAAAAAATAAAAAAGGAAGAGGCTTTTCCTGTGCCTCTCAACAGGCTTTTGTGCCTGTAATTCCATCCATCCATTTCTCTAGCACTCATTACTGTCGCATGTAACTCTGAAAAGGGACTTCCAGAGATGGAAGAAAGATGCTTAAGCTACAAGAGTTTCAGAATAAAGGACCAAGCTGTTCTGAAGATCTTTAATTTTCAGTGAGGGCCGGAATATGACTTGAGTTATTCAATTAGCATTTCCCAAGAAGCCACAGGATTATAGTTTTTCTCTCTGAGGCCAAAATAAGTGAACGAGAGTCAGACTTGGATTTGGGGTTCCTGAGGGAAGTTTCTTTCTTACCATCTCACCTCCGTTCACACACTCATATACCCACAGGTTTATTCACTCAGCCAACTCACGTTGCACTCCTAATACAAGGCAGGTAACGAGAGGGAGGTGGGGGAAGTACTGTGGAAAAAGGCTAGGCTTCCTACGACATGATGCAAACTGTGCAGGGTTTCTCAAACCTGAGAAGCTCTAGCCCGGCCTCCCCAGAGACTGGGACCATCAACTGAGAGATCCAGCAAAAGCTTCAGGTGGCTTCCGGTCTCATGGTCATGTTTTACAGTCAGAGGGGACTGCTGTAGCACTCCACAACGTACAGTTTGGGCCACCACACCTGGCCAATCTGGCCAATAAGTACTTCTGATAAAAGAACTGTATCAATTAGCAAGGTCTTTTCCCTTCCTTTTTCCCCCCTTTTAAAAACTAATGGGAATAAGAAAAACATCTATGGCTCTGGTTCAAGGTACCACACATTTCTAATTACCCAAGTCCTAGTTATTTTCCATGGCTATATTTCTATGGCAATACTGAAAATATTATTTTTCATAATCATATTGCAATGGGTTTTCAACTCATTAAAAACATCTGGTAAAAGTAAACCAACATGTATTTTTATAACACAAAGTGTCCCTAGGTGTTCATTCTACCACGGGCCTTCGGTGGCGCGTGTGAGCGGCTCTGCTCAGCGGCCGGCCTACCTGTGAGGCAGATGCCCTTGGTGCTGTTGCACAGGTCCACCATCACTCGAATCTGCAGGGGAGAGAGGGTCATCAGAGCAGACAGTGGGCAGCAGGCCCTGGGCTCACCCTTTATTCAGATGAGCAGAAAGCAATAATAAAAAGTCACCAAGTAACTTTAGGAGAACTCGTGGAACTTCAAGCAAAACGCAGTGATATCCCACCTAGTGATGTTGCAGTCAACAATGAATCGTATACAATGGTGATTTCGTAAGATTACAATGGAGCTGAAAACCTTATTTGTCTGGTCACGGGATAATGTCTTGGTGCAATGCGTGACTTCGTGTTTGTGGTGATGCTGGTATAAACAAAGCTACCACACTGCAGATTATAAAAAGCATAACACGTACAATTACATATGGTACATAATACTTGATAACATGTGACTATTACTGCTTTATGCATTTACTATGTTATACTTTTCAAAATCTTTTTAAAAAGTTTCCAGCTGACAGCTTGACTTCACCATATTTTGTATTGTTATTTTAGAGTGTACTCCTTCTACTTAGAAGAAAAAAGTTAACTGTAAAACAACCTCAGGCAGGTCTTCAGGAGGTATTCCAGAAGGCACTGTTCTCACAGGAGATGACAGCCCCATGCCTGTTATTGCCCCTGGAGACCCTCCAGTGGGACAAGATGTGGAGGTGGAACCCAGTGATATTGGTGATCCTGACCCTGTGTGGGCCTCAGCTAACGTGTGAGTTTGTGTCTTCATTTTTAACAAAAAAGCTGAAAAAGTGAAAAAACAAAACAAACAAAAAAATTTTAAATTTTAAAAATAGAAAAAAAGCTTACATAATAAGGATATAAAGTGTTTTTGTAGATCTGTACAATGTGTTTGTGTTTTAAGTGTTATTACGAGTCAAAAGGTAACAGAAATTAAAATTTTATAAAGTAAACATGTCACAATAAGCTAAGGTTAATTTGTTGAAGAAAGAATATTTTAAAATAAATTTGGTGTAGCCTAAGTGTACAGTGTTTATAGAATCTGCAGTGGTACACAGCCATTTCCTGGGCCTCCACATTCCCCCACCACTCACTCACTGACTCACCCAGAGCAACCCCAGTCCTGTAGCTCCACTTATGGTAAGTGTCCTATACAGGTGAGCCATTTTAAATCTTTTTTTTTTTTTTTTTTGAGATGGAGTCTCGCTCTGTCGCCCAGGCTGGAGTGCAGTGGCGCGATCTTGGCTCACTGCAAGCTCCGCCTCCCGGGTTTACGCCATTCTCCTGCCTCAGCCTCCGGAGTAGCTGGGACTACAGGCGCCCGCCGCCTCGCCCGGCTAGTTTTTTGTATTTTTTAGTAGAGACAGGGTTTCACCGTGTTAGCCAGGATGGTCTCGATCTCCTGACCTCGTGATCCGCCCGTCTCGGCCTCCCAAAGTGCTGGGATTACAGGCTTGAGCCACCGCGCCCGGCCTTTAAATATTTTATACTGTTGTTTTAGGGTACCTTTTCTATGTTTAGATACATAAATACTTACCATTATGTCACAGTTGCCTACAGCATTCAGTACTGTAATATGTTGTATAGGTTTGTAGCCCGGGAGTAATAGGCTCTACCACATAGCTGAGGTGTGCTGTAGGCTATAGCATCTAGTTTCGTGCAAGTACACACCATGATGTTTACACAATGAAACTGCCTAATGACACATTTCTTAGAATGTATCCCTGTGATTACATGACTGTAGTTAACACTTGAAAGAAACTCTTCAAAGATCTAAGAATATTTGCTGTCAGCAGCTTATCTATCAACATCATCAACAGAATTTCCTTGAATTTCTATGGCATTCTGACAGAGGATGACGAGGGAATTGCCAAATCCAACTTTCACCACTGTCATGAGCCAGCCCCCACAGCATCTGGAGGGCTCAATTTGTGGGCCTGAATAAAAGGGGTGGTGAACCTAGTGGTTGGGAGGAAGCACCGACTAACTGGGTGAGCACAGATGAAGTACTTAACCTCTCAGAACTCTGATCTCCCCCTCTGAATAACGTAAGCAGCTGGCCTTGAGGACTGACCTGCTCAGTACCCGGCACGTGGAAACTGCACCTGGGTGGCAGTGATTCTCATGCCATATGGACACTTCCCGCTGGATGACCACCTGTGGCAGGTGGTCACTGCAGCATGGCATTAGCCTGATGTTTTCAAAACCACTGGGAATAAGGAAAACATCTGTCTGCCTCACACCCACTGTATACCCCTTCCCATTCTCCACGCTGCTCCAGTGAGCTTCAGAAAAAACAAATCTGTGCTAAATTCATAGGCTGATACTGAAAGATCTCTAAGATAAATGAAAAAAATGCAAATATAGAGCAGCACATATAACATACTTTTGTTCATGTAAAACAGTGCTGCACACGGAAGTGCTTCTATAAGCTTCTCTCTTGCTGGTTTTAAGATAATTTCTTGGTCTTTCCGGAATATTTCTGGAGATAAATCTAGCAAACCACAAGTGAGGGGAAAATGGAGGGCCAGGGTGGAAGGGAGCTGTACTAAACATGATACAGTCTTTGTCTTTTTCAACAATGTCACTGATTACTCTTTCCATTAAACTGTTTTTCAAAATGCCATGTTTTGATGTGAGGGGAAAATGATTTTTGTCTTGTATCTAGATTTATTCTTTTTGTTAGGAGATCCAGAGGAAAACTCATATTGTATTTACTTTTTGTCGAGTATGTCAACAGCTATTTATTGCCTGTTTTAGAAACTTATTATGGAATATATCATACATATCACACATGAAGAAAATGTGAGCCTGATGTGGTGGATCATATCTGTAAGACCAGTGCTTTTTTTTTTTTTTTCAGATGGAGTCTCGCTCTGTCGCCCAGGCTGGAGTGCAGTGGTGCGATCTCCGTTCACTGCAAGCTCCGCCTCCCAGGTTCACACCATTCTCCTGCCTCAGCCTCCCGTGTAGCTGGGACTACAGGCGCCTGCCACCGCGCCTGGCTAATTTTTTGTATTTTTTTAGTAGAGACGGGGTTTCACCGTGTTAGCCAGGATGGTTTCGATCTCCTGACCTCGTGATCTGCCCGTCTCGGCCTCCCAAAGTGTTGGGATTACAGGTGTGAGCCACCGCGCCTGGCCATCCCAGTGCTTTTTTAGGCCAAGGTGGGAAGATTGATTTGAGCCCAACCAGCCTGGGTAACATAGTAAGATCCTTTCTCTGTAAAAAAATGAGAAATTAGCTGGATGTAGTGGCATGCACCTATAATCCCAGCTACTTAGGAGGCTGAGGCTGCAGTAAGCAGTGATCCCACCACTGCACTCCTGCCTGGGTGACAGAGCAAGACCCTGTCTCAAAAACAAAAAAAAAGAAAAAGAAAGAAAAAAAAATGTGTACAGATATTTAATGATGAATAATATGACAAACACATATATATGAAATGGAAGTTTACCAATGCCTTGGAAGACTTCCGGATGTCCCCTTACCCCCAGTAGCTCTCTGAGTTGGAGTACACTTATCCATTTTATTCAGATAAGAAAATAGAGGCTTAGAGAGATGCCATCATTTACTGAAAATCAACAGCTTGCTGGTAGAAGAATGGGACTCAGCTCCAGGTTTCCTAATTCCAGGTCCACTCCACTTGTCTATTATGGCTCTGGCGATTATCTTAACATCACCAGACAGAAAAAAAAAATGATTCACTGCCTTTAGTCATTTTCATAAACGAATGTAATCAGCTGCACTAGAACAAAATTTATTGTCTTAAAAAATGTGTAATTGCCCATTGAAAGGACCAGAAAAGACTTCACAATGGCTTCATTTGTTGCCTGGGGGATCACAGCAGAAGGGGTGGTCGGAAACAACAGAAGCATCAATAGGGAAAATTAGCCTTTCTCTTTGGTACTAATCACTGATCTGGGGCAGGTGCAGCTTTTGTAAAAACTATGAAGCAGTTTTCATTTCCTGACCTTTTGGTTTCATTTGTATGCTAAATGTCAATTTAGATATTTGCCAGTAAATTATGTTAATCTTTACTCAAGAATAGTCTTTTAACGAAATTGGGCTGTGTATATAAGATTGTATTGAGATGAAACATATGGTATATGAAAAGGTGTGGCCATAAAGTTAGAAACTTTTTTTTCTGGTCATAGGATTAAAAATTGGAATGAAAATAAGAAAACTCCGAATTGAAAGTCACAAAATCTAGATGGTCAAATTAAGGAATCATATTTGGCATAAAGAACCTCTTAAATCTTGAGGTAGGTCTTGAGAAGGTTGAAGCTGGAAGAGTCCTTAGAGGTCATTGTCCTGGGGTACTGGGCATGACACATCCATGTTGTGGCCTTGCGCCCCAACCTTGTAGAGCATCTCCCAGTGCTTTCCCCCTCCCTGCCCATCACTGTCACTCTGCTCCAGTCACACTGGCCTTGTCGCTGGTCTTGGCTGTGCCTAGTGTGCTGTGCAGCACATCTTTACCTGGTGAGCTTCACTGATGCCTCAAGTCAGGCTTTCCCTGGCTCTCAGCTGATGGGAGCCCAGGCAGCCACTCCTCATCACCTAATCTGGCCTTTTGCGTTTGTAGCACTTATCATTATTCAGTACAGTTGACCTTGAATGATATAGGTTTGCACTGTATGGGTCCACTTGTACACAAGCTTTTGTCAGTAAATACAGTCAGTTCTCCATATGCACAGGTCCTGTACCTGCAACCAAACATGGATCGAAAATACAGTATTTGAGGGATGCTAAACTCTCAGAAATGGGTGGCTGAATTTTCATATACTTAGGTTCCACAGGGCCAGCATCAGGAATTTGAGCGTGTGCAGATTTTGGTATTCACAGGTGTCCTGGACCCAATCCCCCACAGATACTGAGGAATGACTGTATTCTCTTGCTTATATGTTTATTACCTACTCCTGCTCCCCAGAGAAAGGAAGCATTTTGAGAGCAGAAAAACTTCTTTGTTTTGTCTGCATCTCCTGTACTATGTTTTGAATATGTCCTCCCAAACGCATGTGTTGCAAACATAATCCCCAACATAACAGTGTCGGGAGGTGGGGCCTA